GATGGGCCGAATGGCCTCCTCTCGTTTGTATAGTTCTTATGTTCTTATGAGCTACAGGTTCTTACCTTCTGTACGATTTCTGGGGTCATTCCGACCTGTTCAGTAACTTCCATTGGCTCTCCACCTGCACCCTAAGTTTGAGAGAAGATGCAAGATATAATTTCTGACTGGGGGGGGGGGGATGTTCTTAGTCAGCAGTAAAGGCCATGGTTTTAAAAAAAAGCTGGATTGGGCAGCTCAGTTGAGACTCACCACAGCTGCCAATTGGGAGGCCGGAACAGCCTGGGGAACGACCAATCCGGCTTGAGGCTTCAGCGTCGCCAAGGCTGCGGAAGGTCACATGTCACTACAGATCAAATAAAAGGGCACGACCGGGCCGGTTCCAGGACAGAGGAAGGGGGTAGGCGGGGATGCCCTGGACAGACCCCTGTGCTCACCTTCACGGGCAGCAGTGACCTCCTTGGTGAGACGAGCGATCACCCTGCAGGCGGCATCGTGCTGGTAGAGGGCGTGAGAGAGTTCCTGCCGGGTCGTCTGCAGCTGCTGCCGGAGAGTGAAGCTGTGCAGCATCACGGCGTCCTGAAAGAAAAGCCGGACGGGGCAGCCGTCGAGATCACAAACAGCTTCCATATGGATCAATGCTCGAAAATCCTGGCGGGGCTTCCCCAACCCATTCAGCACAAAAAAAAAAACTTAACTACAGCCTCTCCCCTGGTTACGATGGGCTTACAAAAGGCAAAAATGCTTAAACATCACAGTCTAGCCTATACCCTGCCTTAAACATGCTTAGTACACTTACATTAGCCTATAGTTGGGCAAAATCATTAACACAAAGCCTATTTTATTATAAAGTATGGAATCTCATGTAATATATTGAATAATATACTGAAAGCTAAAATCATTTACCTGTCGCAAAGTCAAAATATCGTAACACGGACCATCGTAACCCAGGGAGAGTCTGCGTATAAAAGGCACTATACACTTCCCTTCCTGTCATTCAGGAAATGATATTGATCTGACCTACAGAGTGGCAGGCTACTCAGTTATCAATGTAAAAAAAAAAATCCAACTTTCATTCAGTGAGTGAAATTTAAACACATGTCAAACTAAAAACATAAAAAAAATGCCACATGGGGAAATGTACAGTTACAGTTTTGAGTCTTAGTATATTTACAGATACACTATTATAAGGTCCTCTACATTGTCATGTAGATACGGCTGAGTTTATGGAGAAAACGGCTTGAGCCACTGACCCATTCGTCCTGCAGCGCCTTGAGGATAGCGGGAATGCTGGTAGCAGATGGAGCCTTGGGTCGGATGGGATGAGATACTGAGAAGGGAACAGGGTTCGGCGCGTTATGCATACGACACAATGCACCATCTGAGCGCCCTGGTTATAGACACACATCTGTGTAACACGCCTGATAAAACTCCAGCTGCCGGATAGCTCTGCGATCTCACCCTTGATGTCGATGAGCTGCTCTTCAGAAAGCGGCTGGCCCGTTATGGGGTCGGCCCCGTTTTCGGCGATGTACTTCTCGATGAGCCGCCGCTCGAACACCTGGTTCGACACGGGGGACACGCAGGGGTGCTCCGGCACCTCATTGGAGACTGTGGGGGAGGCAGGCGTTGAAACGTGGGCCTTGACCCAGCGCTACAGTAAAGCTGTTTTTTAATGCTATTTCGAAAACTAAAACATGGCCAGGAAAGTAATACGTAGTTTAAAACACACTAGAGAATAAAACCAAACGCCACGATCCAGCACAGAAAGCAAAACTGCACGTTCAACTTACTTGCACAAACCAGAGACATCCTGCGCGAAAAGCCGCCGCTCGTCCACCAGCGAGCGAAAAACACAAGTTATGAACGGGCTTGAAAAAGACCTGGCCGGCTGAAACACTCCGCTCCACACCCTGTCTGTCCTACTCAGGGTACAGCGTGATTTACTAAGTTTTTGCAGGGTTTATTCAGATTTGGTTTTATTCCTTTCAACTGCGTGCTTGCAAACGCGGCCACACGGTCTGTCTCGAGCTTGTTGCCGCCGCTGAGTGTCTGTTGCATGCCGGGATAGCAACGGTCCTCCAAACGCACCCCCTTCCTTTCAATTCGGTTTTATAAAACCGGGAACGTTTGTTTCGTGCTTCTGATGGTCAATAGGAGCAACTTGGTGTGTTTGTGTATATTCAGCGGCAATCACTTGAAAGAAAAGGATTTCGATCCTCCACACTTTTATTTCACTTTACGACAGGACACCAACACGCTTTACGTTAGGACCTTGAGGAAGCATCATATTGTCGTCCACCATATAAAAATTTTCGAGACTGTAATAGAGATGTTACTACTTGAGGAAATTAACAACTGATAAATCGAAAAGAGTTGTAAAATATAATTCTGCTGGCTACATTTATAGAATTTCTTCCCTACCCACAGGAGTATAGCTTCTTATCTATAAGAAATGGTTTGCCTGTCCATTTCCCCATTGTCTTAACGTATTTAAGTGTACAACAAAAATTCTTATAGTACACGTAGTATACATTATATTCAATTTTTTACAAGATAAATTATTTATGACTATGCACATAAATGGCACTCATAATAATAGTTGTTGTGTAACCATATTACTGATATTACACTACGCAGCGATCCCAAGGACAGAGAGGTAGCAGAAAGACTCCTTGGTAGTTTAAAATCCTGAGATTGTCAGCAACCTCTGCAGTGTAGAGAAAAAATAATGAAAACTAATATAACAAAGAATGCAAGAATGTCCCAGTTACTGAAATATCTCATAATTCCATTTGGTAGTGTTATTATTATTATTATTTATTATTATTATTATTATTATTAATAATTATAATTGTGCACAAGGTGTAGCCCAAAGAGTTGAACTTCCATATTACAATTTGTGATGATTACACTTAAATCATAGAATACTGGACAGTGATGCAATACTATTCCCCCAAAACATCCCCACAACATGTAGAGGCAGTGTGAAGCTTGGTGAATTAGGGATTTGTGTGTTTGTCCAGAAGGTGGTGGGGTTGAATCCCATGACCAGTGGGGTAATCACATCACCTCTGGGTCCTTCAGCAAGGCCTTTAACTCCAATTGCCCCAGGGGTGCAGGCTGTTGTCCTACCTCAGACTTTCCTCACTTGTAAGTCATTTTGGACAAAGGCATCAACTAAAATAAATGTCGGCCTAACAGTTCACATTGAACCCAATCAAAATCCCAAGACTTTGCTTTCCACGTCCTGGCATTCTTGTCCTCTATGAGAAGCTCAGCTTGTCAGAGGTGTACACACTGCAGCAGTCAGATGTATTAGTGCTGAGTGGCAGGAGAGAAAGATACTCCTTTCCATGCGTGAACTTTCCCGTTTTCTTAATCTGGAACTGGACGTAGGGCTCAGAGGAGCGTAAGCAGTCGGAGCTCAGTGGGAAAGTGATGGACGCCTTCCTCTCTCCCTCCATCCCCTGCGAAGAATTAACAGGGATTAATGCAGAAATGCGATGCGCTGCACATACGTGTTTGTGTTCAATATGTGTCGACCTACCCGAGTCTGCAGAATGTTATTGGCAGGGTCTGTCTGAGCCCTGTCAACCAGTGGCTCCGTTTCAGTAGAAGGTGTGCATGCAGTTTTTGCTGCTGGAGTGATGTCCTAAAAGCAGGGATACAGGGGAAATTAAAAAAATAAAATAAAAAAATTAAAACAGCAAAAAATGTCAAATGAAACTTACTGCCATTGGAGAGACACAATTCCCAGAATTCTGTGCTCCGTCCCACAGGGGGTGACTGGGAAATTGGGGAGTGAAGGGGTAACTGTAGGTCTATAAAAAGCAGGATGAATTAAGTTACCAATAACAAACTCTCATGGGTGGTACCAGTACCTAAGAGAAGACCAGCCGCATAGAGAGGTATAAGTAAGACATGACTCCTCACACAGGTCCAACTAGAGGCCAGCAACATAAACACAAGAACACATGCAAAACTTGACATGACATCAACACAAGCCTGGCCAAACTGCCACCTTACCTCACTGTACAGGTGAGCGCCGAAAGGGGTGACGCTGGCATTTCTTTGGGTGTTTCTGCTCGGCCTGCTCCATGAGGGGTATTTTTTCTTAAGAAGAACAATAACAGCCATGAAGCCAAGTCCGCACAGCGGAGCAGCTACTGACTTAAAGTTTGCTCTCCACTTCGGCTTTTCTGCAGTAGCATGGGAAGGAACAAAAAGCGAAAAACGATGCTTACAGTGCAGAGAAGTACAGTGCAGAGAAGTACAGTGCACAAACATATGTGACCTGGATGGGATGCCAGATCATTACAGGGCACGTATACTCTAAGAAACACACGCTATGGGGAATTTAAAGATGCGACATGGGGAGAATATGCCAACTCCACACACAGAGGACAGGGGCAGGATTCTGGAGGTGTGAGGCATATGTGCAGTATTTATGAAATTTCAGGACCACGCCACATCCACTCACAGCAATACGACGAAGGATGTGCATTCAAACACAATAAATTAAAATGTTAGCAAAACAAACAACACATACCGCATGCATCTGTTACCTGAATAAGTTGTTACTTACTAACAACCTCCAGCCATGTGGAGGAGACGAGGTTACCCTCCGTGTCTCGAACCTCATACACACCAGTGTTGTCCAGTCTCAGCTGCTCGATAACAATCTCATCGGATTGTCCCACTCGGGCCGGCATCAACTGCCATCTGTACCGCTCCGCGGTGGCCACGACTTCGCCGCCTCGCACGAGCAGGACGGCAGGCCGGTCGGTGATGGAGACGTATGAAGAGGAGGAATAGGAGGGGATGAACGACAGATGGGTTTTGGAGTAAGGAAGGAAGAGTGGAAGGATCAAGGAGTCACCAGTGAAGTAGGTAAAGCTGAAGCCATGTTCTGCAAGGAAAAGGCAGGAAGAATAAAACAGTAAGAGAAGGCTTGAGTTGAATAGTATATGGGAGGCAAAACTATCATTTGTTCCCTCATTCACCTTCAACAATTAGATGGACTGTTGACAGAAGCTGCCTGTTCACATCTCTCAGTGTGTAATTCCCCTGGTCTGCTTGAGTCAGCCCTTCCAGAATCCAGTGTCCAGCCTTCACGCTCCCCCTGCTCTGCTGGCTTTTCGAGGGAATCGAGCTGTTCCACAAGGTTGTGGGTTGGGAAAGCGACTGGGAGGATTTGGGGGAAAATTCCATCAAAGCGCCACCACTGGAGATGTGAATCTTTAGGTCGTCTCCATAAAAACGCCTGACGCTCTTGATGCAGTCTGAGTAAAAAAAAAAAACAAAAACAGGAGACTGTTTTGTATCATTTTTGTACCACACTGGTTGATTTTCGTAATAATAATAATTCTTCATGATGGCAAACAAATTCTGCACTTCTAATGTTTTCACTTAGAAAAATGAAATCTGAACTAACAATACAAAATGGGATAATGTACATTCAGATTTGAATTTTGTTAGTACTTTATAGGACAGAACAACCTGGAAGATGTCAGTTTTAAAAAGTAACAAAATATTTAGTAATGTCTTACCTACTACAGTGAGATAGATCTTCTTATAAACAAATCCCGAGGACATCTTCAATTTAAAGAGTCCTTGGTCTTTCCCTGTCACCTCTTTTACCTGCAAGATCTTTTCTCCTGTCCAGCCATACCTGGGATCCATCACCTGAACATACATAGGAACATATAAGCACAGAATGACATGAAAACTGAGGAACCAGTTAACCTGGAAACCAGTTAACCATGCAAACTAACAGCACATTAAAGGAGTTTGCATGTAACGGGGCGCACCAGCATGCAGAAACGCACAAGCCTCACCTTGTTGTGGTCCAGTACCACTCTTGTAGGTCCGGGGGGAGAACTGGGAATAAACATGACCACTCTGACTCTAGACTTGATGGGAAGGTTAAAATCCTTCCCAGAGCAGACAATATGCTTTTCTTCATTCCACACTACAACATAAAGAAAGGGTTATTTTCATAATTATTATTATTATTATTAGGAAAAATATACCTTTCTCAGTAATCAACGCAAAAATATTTGTCTATATATTTTAGAATTTACCTGCCAAAGAGAAATCTGGCAAAAAAAAAAAAAAAACAAATATTTCAGAATTAATGCAAAAAGTGTAAACATACATAAGTATTCATCACATCAGCTATTTAAACATCTTAGACGACTGAAAATGAAACTCACTCCAAGAGAAAACCCCCAGCAGGAAAACTAAGATCATCATCTGTGAAAGACACACATAGTATAGTTAAGGGTATATAATCTACGCCCCACACCAGACAAACGTATCACTGTGCAGAAGGTAATGACATCTAAGAATGAGTGCTTATTATAGTACTGTACGGTAGGTCGTACTGCTGTCTCTGACCACAATTTATCTAGCATCCAAGTCGGATCAGTAACCGGCACAGTGTCGCGCTAAAAGCGTTACAATTCAAAGTGACTGTGAAAACACGTATACGAAGGCCATTTAATGCCGTATAGCACGTTCTGTACTCATAAAGTCACTCGATCGCTAACCCCCGAAATACATCAATATGGGAAAACGTAGCCCGGAATGAAATAAAACAACAGGTAAAGTGTCCGAATGGACACCATTAAAAATAACAGTTTGCCTTTAAACATATCATATAACTGATCCCCACATCAGAAGTGTTACATCTGAAGTGTCCATGTTGCATTTCATCAATGAATTTTACAAATCAACAATCACTGACGATTATCTGGTATTTCAAATATGCGACGTATATATTGCATTACTGTGCAACTGTGCAACACAGCAAGAAAACGCACTATGCTTTATGATAAACTGGAAGATGCATCAATGTATTTGGGTTAGTACGCTGATATATTGCCTCATCACAATAACGGCACCATATTACCTTCATTAGCAAAAACTCACCTGTATCTCAGGTTCAGCTAATTATCGTACAGCATCTCGTCGATGTTACCGTAGAGACAGGATCCTCGTGCAGTGCTTTTGTGACTAAAGCATATTTACGTGCATGATTCTCGTGCAGCACATACGCAAATCGCATGATTGGGGTTAAACTCGGTAAAAGTAGCGCATCATATCTCCAACGCGCGACTGTCCGCTGTGCGCCATCTACTGGACAGTCGCCGGAAATAATCTCTATTACGTCACCACGCGGTTTAAAGGTACTGTCGCAGAGAGCTGTATGTAAAACCAAGAGTATTATACCCTGTAGCACACTGCCTCACACCTCCCGCGTTGCCACCGGCTTCGTCTGTGAAATTCACCCTGATTTTATATGGCCTCCCTCCCACAATTCAAAACATGAGAGATAAGTGAATTGGTCTCTTAATTAACGATAGCCTAAGACCGGAATTACATTGAAAAACACCCCAGCTTTCTCCGTTCTTCCTAGGCCTGGCTCTCAGTGACTCTATACTGAAGTGTTGGAAAATAACGGACAGGGTTGGGATAGTGGTTAGTACTGTTGCTTCCCACCTCTGGGACCAGGATTCCAGTCTCGGCCATGGCTTTGTGTGTGTGGAGGTTGCATGTTCTCCGTGGTGAAGTTTCCTCTGGGTACTCTAGCTTCCCCTCCCAGAAAACATGCTGAGGTTAACTATCAAATTGGCCATAGTTGTGAAGGGTGTATGAGTGCACCTGATCCTGGGTTGTCCCCTGTCTTGTGCCCATAGGCTCTGGACTCTGTTACCCTCAATAAGGTAAATGACTACAGAAAAATAATGGGTACTCCAAAAGATAGTACCATACACATCTCTCAGCATGGTCCACTGTGCACCACAGGTATTGGAAAAATGCTACATATTGTGGTCCAACCTCCTTTTTACACACCCTCCCCTCAGGGCCAAAGATGAGGTAATACAAGAATGAAGAGGTACACTTTCTTTGCTCTACATGCAAAAGTGCACATTTGTGTAATAGATGCACCCTTACGACAAGACACCCAGTATACTCGTCCCATCCTATTTGATTGGTTCCCACAGTTGAACGGATTCCTCACATTTTCTTCTTTCATTTTGATGAAAGGGTTGGTCCAGAAACAGGCCTTCAAGAAAGCCACCCTGAAAGAGCTTCTCTGTATTGAGGATCCGAATCAGGGCCGGGACAATGTCACTGTGACCTCACATAGGAATAGTCACCGGTTCAGCTCTTAAACTTACTGTCCCAAGCAGTGAAGTAGTATGTTCTAAGTTTATAGTCAACTGAATAAGAAGACAGTAATATGAAGTCATTTATCCATCACATACAATATCTTCCATTTGGTCACTCTTAATATTTCATTGTATTCCATGTCAATGAGCAAAATACAGTAACATGTTTTGCTTTAACAGATCTTGAGTAATTCAAATGAATTTCTAAACCCTGCACTTTAACCCCTTGCTTTGTGGAGGTTTATTTTTTCAGCTATAATTATCCATTCATGCATTTTATCCGTTAACAATAATTTTCACATTATTTGCTCACTCAGAAACAACCAATCAGCACAAACCGCACGTTTGACATCATACAGAGTGAAAGACAGCATTCCCAAACATGTAATAAAGACAGCTTTATTACAGATCGTCAAGCACACTGACCCAATTCCACCTCCAGACATACATCATTGCTTCAGATTGCGTTCGATCCTCTTCATTGATCCCTCCAAACCTTTCACACGTCTCTCCAGATTGCTGGATTTGTCCTGCTCAGACCCGACTCGTGCCAGACCCAGCAGGGCACAGGCGAACACCAGGGCACTTAGACGCCAGGCAGTGGTGTTGGTGTTTGCGCTGGTGTCGCTCACGATGACCACGAAGAGCCACAGGGCAATGCTCAGCTTCAGGAGCCAAAGAACCCGCCTCAGGAGGCACAGAACCAAATGCAGAACCAAGGAGAAAACCCAGTAACCAATCACCGCCAGCAGAGCCCACTGAGCGACAAAGGCGATCCCTTCTGCAGTGAAATGAGGAAACGGCAGCTTGACTGCAAACAAGGAGAGAAAACGTCCATTACAAAGTGCTCTAATCCTGCTCAATCACTGCGTTTTTCCAATCCAGTTTAAGCAAAAATATCACGTCTTAAAAACCACAAGAACCGTGTGATTTCTTACATGGCATCTGGTGTTTATTTTTGAAATCTCTGGGAAGAATGTTCGTTTTTAATTAAACTAACCGGTTTTTCTGGCTTCAAGTGGGGCATCGGAGAGGGAGGGCCCCCCACCGATCCAGCTATTTGCGCAAGTTGTTTGTCGAGGCAGAGCTACACGAACGCCGCAGCGGCAGCGCTGGTATGTGATCGTGCTGCGGCACGTGGATATCGATGCGTTTCTCACCTGACACTCCAGTTGCACTCAGGATCTCAGAGACATAGACGGCGATCACGTTCAACCCACTGGCTGCTCCCGTCGACAGAACTCCGACTGCCACTTTAAAGTACTAGAGAGGGGAGAGTGAGACCATCTCACATGCAGCAGTTTTCCGTCCCTACATGTGGTACTCAGTCATATGGAGGGAGGGAGGACCTTAAATGCAGTGCATTAGGGTTTGCAAAATGTACTACTATTCACCTAAACAATACAGGTTCTTATCAAAGCACACTTGTAGCGTATGAAAACAGCTGAGATCTCTCAGCCTGCTTCACAGCTGCAGGGAAGACCAACAACGACAGCTGCCATTCATGCACCTGTTGTTGTACAGTGTCTGCATTGTTCAGACTACAACAGCTCAGCAGAGCTATACATAAATACAAACAAAAGTCATTTCAGGTTCTCACCTCCAATAAGGCCTCTAGTTTCTCCTGGTCAAACAAAGAGTGAAGGCACAATTTAGCATTCTGTGTGAGGAGGGGATGTGCAGGAGGGAGAGTAAAGCCACAGCAGACCAGGTACAGGGTTAAGGAGACAAAAGACAAAAGGTAAGTTATAAGGCAGTTATCGGGCGGTGTGGAAGAGCACCGCGCCAAGCAGGAAAGGAAAAGCTGAGGATTATGTGTCAGACTCAAAGATGCCAGATTTCCAATTGTTTGACGTGTCTGGCAGCAAGGACAGGCCTTTCACATAGGAGGGTTTAGAGAATCGCACCCAGCGATAATGTTGCCGATACCGCCTCCCTTTCTCACCTCAGTGGTGGTGTCGATGACCCGCGAGCCGACGACGGACACCAGTAGCTGGTGTGCTTTCCCGCACGCTTCGTCCAGGACAAGCCGCAGTCCCGCCAGCAGCTCATTGGGGGTCTGGGAAGCCCCCACATCCGCGGTGCATGGGGGCACCACTCCGGAAAGCGTGATCACAGCTAAAGCCAGCAGAGCCAGGCGTACTTTGCAAATCCCTCGTACAGCCATTTTAATATCAATAATGACTAAGTATTGGACGTACGCAAAACTAATTCAATCACTAAATGATTATATTTTGCACATTCAGTTTCTTAGGGTTTTTAATGCACAATCGGCTTATGTATTTCGGCAAAAAAAACTAAACACGCAAAATAAACTGAATACCGATCACGTTGTTCAATTTATTATTAGTAACAAATGACAGCACGCCCAACTGAGTCGACATGCAGATAAGAATAAACACCCAGCCTTCCAGCCGTCGCTAATGTCTTGGAAACACAACACCAACAATAAAACAATTCTATAGCGATGTTTGGCAAACACTGAACTGGTTAAATGCACTTTTGGATTATTCCACCCTTATATTTAATTACAACCTGGCAACGCCGCAAAACCGCATCTCATGCCTTTTCACACCGTGACCAAGGACACGCGCGTTACTGTGTTACCATTAAATAGCTATATTTAGTATTGAACAAAGTTAAAAATAGAAACTGACCGAATAATACGGCTATACTTTAAATATATCGAGAAATCCGCAGAAGAAAAAAGTCGCACACTGCTTCTCCGAGGAATTTTACAAGTTTGACGTTTAACAAAAGAGGCGGAGGTATAGCTGGAAAACGCTGCGGTGATTGCAGGCGCTTAAATCTCTTTTATGCCTGTTTTTGTAGTTGAAGGCGTTTTCAATCGGCAAAGCCAGCAGGGAGCTGCTATTGTTTGGCGGATATGAAATGACCTGAAGAAAGTTTTGTGCGCCCCTGGAGCGACGCACACGCCGCCTTCCCAATGACTCGCCGCGTTTAAATTTTCCAGCTCGGCGTCTGCCTGCATGCCACCCAAATGGGCCGTACGAAAGGGAGGGATCCTGGGATTTGTGGTTCCGCTCTAACCACTGTGCATCAAACCACGAGAAATTACTGTAACCCCCGCCCCAAAATACACAGCCGATATACAAACATGTTTTATCGTCTTTTTTTTTATTAATTGCAAATAAGCAATTACAAATCTGAACCATAAGGAGAATAGAAACCAATACAACTACTTAAAGCAGCTTTCAAATAAAAAGGAATAATTATCATCATGAGAAAAACAAAACAAAAAGAGGCAGACAAACTCAGGTTGCCCAACTTTTGAGCTTAAGTCCTGTGTATTTTCTCTTCAAATCAGTTACTCAATATACTAGTTTCGTACTGATATAATTGCTTTTTGCTTCGGAACTCATGAGCCCATGCTTGCTGTTGAGGGCTCCCTCCCACAGTTCTCCCGAGCTTCCTGAAGAGGGCGCTCCACTGGACTACGCCTGAGACAGGCTGTGCGCTTAACGTTTCGGCTAAATTTATACAACCTATTCTTCGACCCCCACAACCTCAGTGATGGGAAGTAGCTATTTGAAATTCTAGCACAATCACATACCTCACCTCGGTCTTACTGTCCATTTTTAATCACATTTTTCTACCAGGGGCAGAGTAGTTCCCTATCTCACCCCCGCAAGCTCCGCCCACTGGGCGTCTATCCAATGTAGATGCGGTGGAAGTCGTTCGCCCCAAAAGCGGCATTGCACTTGGGACACTTCCTCTGACGCGTGTCGTACCGTGTCTTCACGCACTCAAAGCAGAAGACATGGAAACACTTTGTCAGGACGGCGTCCTTCACACGCGAGTTGCAGCAGGGACAGGTGAGACGTGCCTACGAGGAGAGGGAGAGAGAGAGGGGGGGCGGAGTTACAGGGCTCGTTGACCAGGCTGAGCAAACATCACGGGACACTCATCCTCTGACAGGGAGGGCAGGCACCTACTTTGTACTCATTAATCTCTTGATTGAGAATTTCGTCACAGTTTGAAATGTTCTCTGTAGGCTTCTTGGCCTTCTCAAGTTTCCTTCTCAACTTGGAAATGTCCTCCTGAAAATGATTATGGAAAATTATTAGTGTAGTAGAAAACCATCAAGAGAGTGTAGGAATTGGTACATTAGAATGTACTAGATATTGTCTATTTATTAAAACTACCAGAGGTGAGCTGGTATGAAATTGTGAAAATGAAGTGAAGTGAAAATGACTGTCATTGTTGACACACAACAGCACACAGTGGATAACAATGAAATGTGTCCTCTGCCTTTAACCCATATGTGACACAGAAGTGGGCAGGTAATTCAGCACCCAGGGAGCAGTGTTTGGGGGCAGAACCCTGCTGTTTCGGGATTCGAACCAGCAACCTTCCACTCACAAACACGCTTCCCTAACCATTAGGCCACTACTGCTTAATATGTCACTTATCCCAACCAGGGTGTCCCCCACTCACTGAGACTCTGATTCCTATGCATGGATGGACGGACGGAGTTTAAACTGTTTCTGAATATCTCACGTTGCACTTCTGTGATCTTCCGAAGACCGTCTCTTTGTGATATTTACATCACCAGGACCAATGACTACTGGTGCAGTAAGTGAATCCGCTCACTGTTCAAAGCCTAAACCATCGCAGACACACGGGACACGTCACTGGTCTCGTCTCCTACGTGCCTGGGCTCGGCGGGAGTTAAAAGACTCCTTCTCGCGGGAAATGCTGTTCTCGATCACCTCCTCGCGGACCCCGCTGAGCCTTTGCTGAACGCTATCCAGCTGAGCACGGATCTCCTCTGAGAGCAGCGCCGACTCCTGGGCCTGGTAAGGTGGAGGTGGCGAGGGGGGGGAATTCACGCGTTACGGGGGGAGGGTCAAAGTCAAACACACGAGCGAAGCAGGGCAACGTACTGTCTTTGCACATACATCAGCGTGACGTAGCTTCTGTAACATTAACATTCCGAGTACAAATGATTTATTGACATCACATTACAAACTTCCATAACCTTGCAATCACTGACCATACTATAAATAAATACTAATTATACCACACATGTTAAGCAATGAATATTAGGCAGACACACCCCAAAGTTAGGGGGCGGAGTTTCACGGATTATATGGGTTTCCTCAATGTACAATACAGTGCAGTACTGTATACATAGTGAGGTTACCTGGCACTAGCTGCCCATAATATGAGTGCATGCATGTCTGTCCAGAGTGGATCCCAGTCTTGGGCCCTAAACTATTTCAGGATTAAGCCCCTCCTCCACAACTCTGTGCAGGTAATTGAAAGATGGATAGATCAATAGGGATATTGATCATAAATATGACCTTTGTGTCTTACTAATTGCACTCAATGATACTACTTCTTGCTTTACCAATATTTCAACTGGGACTGTACTATAAAGAGGAGCACGCAGCTCTGGTTGACCTTGCGTTTGTTCATCTCCAGAGCCTGGGTCCGCAGTGCCAGCTCTCGTTCTGCAGCACTAATGGTCCCCTGCAGGAGTCGCTCCTTCTCCTCCAGTTTTCTGACTACCTGCAGCTGGGCATCGACCTTACAGAAAAAAGGGAATCGTGTGATGCAACGTGAGACGGACTCGTTACCGGTATCTGTCAGCATCTGGGAATGAATTCCCTTCACATGAGTAGCAAACGTCAACAAGTTGTAACAAATTTGAGGAAGCACTTCTTTACACAGCGTGTAGTTAGAGTGTGGAATAGTCTTCCTGCTAGTGTAGCGGAAGCTAAAACCCTGGGTTCCTTTAAATCAGAGCTAGATAAGATTTTAACAACTTTCAGCTATTAGTTAAGTTCTCCCCAAACGAGCTTGATGGGCCGAATGGCCTCCTCTCGTTTGTAAATTTCTTATGTTCTTATGTAATTCCATTGTTTTGTTTTCATTGATGTTCACAATAACTTCTGTTAAGCCTCTACCATTTCACTTTTAATTAATGTAATTAATTGCTGGAAAAAAAAGACTTAAAAGACTACAGAGTGGCCTGCAGCCCAGCGAACCTGAGTCTTCAGCGTTAGCAGCTGGTCGGCCAGCTCTTCCTTCTCCTCCTTCAGCAGTTTGTGGATTTGGTTGGATTTGATCCTCTCACTCATCAGTTTGAAGTTGGCGTCGTCCTTCTCCCTCAGCTGCTGCATGAGTCGGATGTTCTGCTCCTGCATGTCCTCAAACGCCTGGCCGGTCACGTCCATCTCACTGAGGAGCGCGTCTTCCTCCTGAGGCAGAGGATGGCCACGTGAACACACACACAAAGTGCACCGTCGTGCATTGACAGAAGGTCACGGCATACACACCTGCTTGGCCAGGGAGAGTTTCTTGTTGAGAATGTCGATCTGTTCTTCTACTAAGTGGATCTTCCTCAGTGCCTCCTCATCCGCCATCTTCTTCCCCTCCCTCCTCTCCCTCTCCTCCAGCTCCCGCAGGCGCTGTTTGAGCTCCTCAGCCTGGCGGAGGGCAGGACCGCTCAGAACCTCAAATGCCTAACCCTTCCATTTAAAATCATTAAAATCCCACAATATGTCCCTAAGTCTACCAGCACAATTCATTTATCAACCGCTGACCTGCCGCTTGTAAGGCGTGGGTCAATGTACAAGGCCGTACGGTTACCGCAAACGCACGAGACCGAGGGCTTCAGCAAAATGCGTCAAAGATGGCTGGGGTACAAACAATGATGGTACAGAACGTTTTTTTCCTAGATGTAAATACGATGGGTAATGCCGAAATCACTGAACGAACAGGGCACACTGTTCACACGAACGTGTGGCGTCTACCAGGCTCACACCTCAGACTTAGCCTTCTTCTCGGCCGCCATCAGCTGCACTTTGTCCCGCTGCTCCTTGGGTGCTGACCTGTACATGTCCAGGAGTAGCTTCATCTCTTTCTGGGACTCCTGAGCCTTCCTGGTGAGAAAAGAGGAGTCGCCGCCTGGGCTCTTCATCTCAGCCACCAATACTACTGAAAATTTTACAATCACCCCTAATACTATATTCATGCTAAAATATTATGTTTCAATTATTATTTAGAATTTCAAAATTGCTTTTTAGTGGATGTTCGGTAAGTCAGTTACTGATAATCAGCCGTCGAGCATTTATCTGGCGCCTTACAATAAAAACTTAACCAAACAACTTTATCAGAGTAAATTCACAAAGAAATCAAACAAAAGGTGTAATTTGACCCCAAACGAAAGAATCTCTCAAAAGCATCTGGAGGGGGCAAAAGAATTGCTGTCCTAACAAATAATGTTTAACGTCAGAAACACACCAATCAATAAAATCAATATTTTTCTCTCACTCAGACCTTTGTTCCATATTGGACGCTCAGAGCTCCTTAAATCTGCTGAATTGCACGTCAGTATTTTATTTCTAAATTCACTGCATGCACCATTTCAGATTTAAACAGCAATCATTTTCAAAGCAATAACACAAGCACTAGTCTGTCAGTCTGTTTCAATCATGGTCTGTTTATAATTATCGTGGCTGAGATTGTCAAACTACTTTGTGTATTTTCACATAACACCGGAGTTAAATTCTGATGGTAAATAACGTACTTCAGCTCTGCTCTGACAATCTTCAGTTGCTCCATTTCCTTCCTCTTTGGTCCTCCAATCACAGCACACCGTTCAGCCGAGCTCTCCTCTGATTGGCTGCTTGTGCTAGGTCTCTCCCTCTCCTCCTTCACTGGTCCACCTGGTCCTCCGCGGGCAGCTTTCTCTCGCTCACGCTCCCTTTCTCTCTCCCTCTCTCGCTCCCTCTCTCTTTCCTTCTCCTTCTCTTCCTCCTTTATCGTCCCTTCTCCATCTGCCCCTGGCTCTGTCTTCACAGTTGGTCCTGAAGACACAGAGAAGAACATGTGAGAAGTAGTATTGAAATGTAGGGCGCAAGTTGGGCCGAGCGATATATCGGTATTATATCGCGCATGCCGAATAATCACCAGGGCTTCCGATGACAGGCAAAACATTTAGCCGAACGCCAGCCTTTTGGTACTATACGGACGTTTATTTGTGCCCACAATTAGTTAAGCAGATTAATAGTATGAGAAATATTAATGAGGCATATAATGACACCCAAAAGTTTAATAAACTTAATAGACTTTAAACTACGAAAGTACCTCCACACCACCAGCGTCTTTTTACCTTGTTCATCCACAAGATCTCCTCTTTTAAAAGATATCGTGGCTGCTGAGCTGCTCCTTTCTTCACTGACACTTCAATGCAAATCGCACTAAGGAATACCACACAAATAGTGCGTTCCATTTGCCCTGGGATCCGATTTTCGGATTCCGAGATTACGTCACATCCGCTAAAAACTCGGGATGCGTTCCATTTGCCACAGAAGTAGCAATACCATGGACCCATATGAAATAGCAAGATTGTTTGCTTAGCCGGACAACTTGTCGGATTTACCGCAGTTTAAATGGCCTTTCTCTTCATTGCCAAGAGGTATATTTAATTAATATTTAACAAATATTACAATGAAATCAACACCCAAGTGATAAAGCGGAGGGAGACCCACCTATGCTGGTGGGTGTGGCAGATCCATTGTCGGGCTCCGCCTTCACAGGGACTTCACAGGAAGGCGCTGGCGTTAGGGGAGAGGCGGTCTCTTCCTTGACGTCCAGCTCCGTGCTGGACTGTGAGTGGAGGATAGAGCTGCCCTTCAGGGCTCTGGCCTATCAGGCAAAGGAGAGTGACTTTAGCATCAAATGAGACCCTGTGGCGCCCCCGTCTGGCCTCCCTGGAGCCTCCATGTGACCTGTCACCTGATTCAGCTCCGCCTGGGCCTCCCTCAGCCTCAGCTTGTACTTCAGCACCTCACCCTTCATCTGCTGGTTGTGCGTCTGCAGGGTGCTGATCAGGTGACGCATCTCCCTGTTGATGGGCCCTGAGAAGAACAGAGAGGCAAATCGTACGCTGATGCCCCCGTGTGACACGCCATTACCCTGTCACTCAAGTATCACGATGGCATCGTATAACCAGTTTAAGCAAATCACGCCCCCCCCCCCCCCACCAGCTCTCTACCTGCTTGCTCATTGGCCGCCAAGGTCTGCTCGAACTCGATCCTCAGCATCTCGTACTCCTTGCGCACCTGAGCCAACGTGTCCTCCAGCTGGATCACCTCAGTGCGAACCTTCCTCTGGAGAGAGACTTCGTCATTCTGCAACAATAAGTAACAATCTCACAGTAAGAAAACATAATGCATCAGGGACGGAACACGGAGATTCATAATTAATCGGTTCAATCTTGGCCAATGTTGCCGGCTGATATTTAAATTTTTTCAGTTTTAAAAGTTATCCGTATCAGGGCTAAAGTCATAAATACTAAAATAACGGAGAGGATTGAACTGGATAATGAACCATTTTCTGTACAGGGGGATGAGGGACTCTGTCAGCTTAGTTAGAATAGTACCATATATATTTGTATGTGTACTTTCCAATTTGCAACCATAAAATTTAATTTGCTCGCACCAAACACAATTTTCATTTGCAAAATACTGAACAGAAATAAACGTCACATGATCTGTACTTGTATATGAAGATTTGTGAATGAACGTGAAAAACATTTTGCAAATTCACATATTCACGTAAGTATTTTTTACAAAGACAGAATGGTTTTCAAGTACAAAACCTGTATTACAAGTCTCGAAACTACATTCAGGAATCCAAGTCCTCTTGCAAATACAGACCTGCTAGTGCAAATTCACACTTGCGCACATAAATAATTTTGACACTAACTTGCCTAGCGCTTTGCAGATAAATATTTGCTAGCATAGCCACCAATCAAATGAATTCATTTTCTAGCCAATTATAAAGCGACGTGTATTTCTGTTCAGTATTTTGGGAATGAAAACTGTGTGCAGTGCGAGCAAATTTCATTTTACGGGTGCAAATTGGAAAGTACACATACAAGTATATATGGCACTATTCTGACTTCATAGTCAGCTCATTCTCAGCTTAGTAGTAGGGCTTCCACTTTCAATCTCAAAAAATAACACCCCCTCACCCCCCACTGGTTTACAACAGGACACAGCATTTTATTTTACAATACGGGATGATCCAGTAAAATATGGGAAGGATGGCAATTCTACTAAGAAGAGATCTCAAAGTACTGACCGCCGAGATGTTTAATACGGCCCATGGCAAGTTTTGAATTCTTTATCATCGATCTTTTTTTTCCCGACAGAATAAAAAAAACAACGTAACGTTATTCTGCTAAATTTCAGGGCTGGCACCTCATGCCCACCCCCTAGCTTGGCAGGTAGCTTAGAGGTTAGCCGGAATCGGTATTGCGGAAATTGGAGAAAAATATATCGGTGAACAGTATCGGTCAAAACGGTGCATCGCTAACATAACGATACATTTGTATTCAATAGGCAGGAAACTTAGCAAAGATACTCGTTCTACAAAAGCCATGAGCAGTCTACACTACACTACAGCGGAGACGTCAGGTTCACCCAGCAGTACCTCCATGTGGTCTAACTGCCTGAGCCGAGCCGTTCTGGTGGTGCTGAGCCTGGCTCGAGTCTCGTCCAGCTGGGCCTTCAGAACCAGGGACTCGTTGTAGAGGACGGAGAACTGGGATTGCAGGCAGCGGTATTCCGAGGTTTCTCTCACCACCCCCTCGGCACGGCAGCAGAGCTCCACCTGTGACAAATGCGGGGGGGGGGGAGACAATAGCGTGCCAGTGACTTACAACAACAACAACAACAAATTTATTTTTGTATAGCGCATTATCACAACATTACATTGTCCCAAAGCGCTTTACAGCATCCCCACCCAAAGCCCCCAGTGAGTAAGCCATAGGCGACAGTGGCAAGGAGAAACTCCCCAGAAGGAAGAAACCTTGGGAGGGACCAGACTCAAAGGGGGAGCCCATCCTCCAGGGGCCGGCCGGGAGAGTCAGCTTTACAGCTTTTCCCATTTGCCAGGGCTTTAGACACTTTCCACCATGATTTTTCCACACTTAGTTACTCACTGTATTCTATACCCCCATTGACTCAAAGCTTATTAATAGCAATTTTCTTGATCTCTAACTTTGTATAATCATGTAATTTCTTATTTTGTGCATTTTCATCCATCCATCCATCAATCCATTTTCTTAAACGGCTTGTCCTATTCGGAGTCACGAGCAGTACAGAGCCCATCCCAGAAGCTACGAGCACAAGGCAGAGAACAACCAACCCATCACAGGACACACACACACTGTTCACTCACACATGCACACCCTATGGGCAATTTGGTAACACCAATCAGCCTCAGCATGTTTTTGGACTGTGGGGGGAAACCGGAGCACCCGGAGGAAACCTCGCGACGACACGGGGAGAACATGCAAACTCCACACACATGGAACCCAGGCGGAGACTCGAACCCAGGTCCCAGAGGTCTGAGGCAACAGTGATGTTTAAATTGTATACTTGTGCCACCGCCAAAACAAATTTCTTATACTTTATGCACATGGTGAGTAAAAGGATTCCGATTCTGATTCAACAGAGGGGCTGGACACAGTGCAATAAACATTAACTGATACCCAAATAACGCTTTGAAAGACCTTGTTTACTTATACAGTGACATAAGTTTGCATGGAAAAGTAACTGAAAGCAGAGTGACGTGGAGGTCTCACCCTCATGTTGTTGTTCTCCTGGTACACATTCTGCAAGTCCTGCTGGAGCTTCTGCAGCTCGCTGAGTCTGTTCTCTGCCAGCTCCCTGTTCTCCTCCAACTCGCTGTTCATCTCCTCAAACTGTGAGGAAGAATAATTACCAGGGATCAGAGACAGAAAAGGGGAGATGCGAGAGGAAAGTTGGAAGGGGCTCCGCGACGCCACAAGTTTCTTACCTTCCGCTTGTTGATGGTGATGGTCCCACAAACACTGCTGGCTTCTCCACACACCTTGTAGCCTTTACTGTTCACCTGTAGACCGAGACCATGATCAAGCAGGAAGAGCCAGGTACCTGTCTCCAGACACACAAGGACCGACGATGCCGACGTACCCTCTCCAACACCTCCCCAAGATGGGCGTTGAGGCGGTTCTCCCGTCGCCGGATCTTCTCCATGTCCCACTGCAGGTCTTCGATCAGAACCTGGAGCTCGCTGATCCGACTGTCGGCCCGCGATACGGCTCGGCCCAAAGTCCGAGACTGAGACACAGACCGACGAGCTCAAATTCCACCCAGCATCCTTACAATTACAGTAATTCCACTTCACTGCTGTATGGTTGTTGAAGCGATTTTACTACAACGGAAGTTTACATGCCGTCAGATATAATTACCTCACTGGTCATATGACTGTGCCTTTGTTGCAGCTCTTCCGTCACGTGACGGAGGCGTTCGTTTTCACTGACCAGCAGATTGTTTAGCTGGGAAACAATTTCCGAGATACTGCCCTCTGTCAACAAAGGCAGAGAAATTATGACAATCACGGTGTGCATTTCATATGCAAATATTAATTACACGTCAGTGTTATGATAAATGTTCAGCCATAGCGTAGAAAGCTTTCAAACTCTGGAAAATGCCAAAGTACCCACAGATATATACAGTGCAAAAGTCTTAGGCAGTCAAAGACAATGTCTAAAGCTATTCATCTTAACAGAAGGGTAAATTTGTCCAGAGTAAAAACACAGTTCAACATTAGGTGAGGCAGAGTTGGTACTGGCAGAGCTCCTGAATCAATATTATGCTAATATCTGTTTGCTGATTCAACATCATATATTTTTTTAAGTTTTTGCTGACACCCAAATAACGCTTTGAAAGACCGTGTTTACTTATACAGTGACATAAGTTTGCATGGAAAAGTAACTGAAAGCAGTTCAGGTCCTACATCTGAAGCAAACACAAGTGCTGTCATGGTGCACATATTCGTCGTGCGCCGATCAGTTACATCAGTTTTGCTCGAGAAAACACAATGAAACGAATTTGTTTCTTGAAATGGGCAAAACTTAAGTTTACTTAAAAAATTAACAAGTAGATGTTCAACATTGAAACCCCCCCCCCATGTCACTTACATCAGTAGTTTGGGTACATTTTGTTTCCCAAAACATCACACCAACACCAGAGAGAGAGTAGTTAATAAGAGCAACACTGTCTGTCGGCTCTGTTTTATGTTGTTGGAAAAACACCCAAGTTATAGGGCTGTTTATTGTGACAGATATGCGACCATATTTGGTAGCTGAGAAAATAGGATTTAGTTTTAGTATTTTTTATTTTACATTTTTACTTTTTCTGTGTGAATAAGCCTCTCAGATTTTGTTTTTCAGACACGGCTACAGACAAATGGCCTTAGGTTCGGATTACAGCTGTTCTTATAATATTTTTGCAGTTTTAATAAAAAAAAAAAATTCAAAACACATTCTGCTTCCCTACTGTACCAAAATTCCAAAAATAGATGAGTGTACTGGATGGTTACTGCACATAGTGGAATGACTTTCGGAGAGGTTTTGAAATCTCTAAGCAGACACATTTTAACAGACAATCTCATAGTTCTATAAAAAATCTTTTTTTATGCCATATGTGACAGATTTTTATTTTAAAAATCTTTAAAAATCACCTTTGATTGGCTAAGACTTTTGCACAGTATTGTATATACGCGAGTCATCTGAAGTATTCCTATTACCTATTTATGTACTGATTAATGTTTCCCCTTTTACATTTGTAGCATATTAAGGAAGGCATGAAGCCATTTTCTTAAGGCCACAGACGTTACCCACGTCTTTCACACTGAGTGCTTCCTCACCTGCCCCCACATCCTGATTCTTCTCCATTAAGTCGACGGTGCTCTTAAGGCTCTCGTAGATGTCGACCACCCGACCAACCAGCTGCAGGCTCAGCTGCAGCCGCTCCTGCAGCTCCGCCTCCATCTCCTCGCTGGTGCTGCTGGCCAGAGTGGCGAGGAAGGAAGGGGCCGTTTCTCCTTGGTGCCCTGTGACGATCAGTGCAGGACACATTGTTGCTGCTGTCTTACGTGGAGTCACGCCTGATCGAGTCACGCTTGATCGAGTCACGCTTGATTGCATTTACGATCCATTAAGATCCGTAGTAACTAATATAAGGTCGTTTCCAGGTTATGAACAAGATCCGTTCCCTAAATCAAATTCGTAGTTAACTCAGAAAAATTATAACGCAATATAGAATTATAATTATTATTAAACAGTAATAATAAAAGTAACTAAATACAGAAATGTTCCTTGAACCAATGCACTACTGAAGCCATACAATGTTTTCTTGAGCATCAAAGAGCAGTTCATGCGTTACGAACCATTATATTTAACCCGAATTTTTAATTTAGGCTTCACGGCAGTCCATTTGAAAGTACAATTCGGGCGTTCTTAATCTGAGGACTGCCTGTACACTGGTGGAGAGACCCCTGTTAACGGATTAAGCGGGGCGTTCTTAATCTGAGGACTGCCTGTACACTGGTGGAGAGACCCCTGTTAACGGATTAAGCGGGGCG